CCTCCACCGTGAAGAACAAGTCGGTTGGAGGCTTTTCGTAGTTCCGCCTTGACAAGAGTGGATGTGATGAAGATGCTGGGGCTGAGTATAGACGCGCATAGTATTCTCTGTGAACCTCAGATAACACTGTTGGGTCATTCGCCGGTTCTCCGTTTCAGTACCTCAAAGAGAGCGCGGACGGCTCGCTTCTGCGGCGATGTCTCATGTATTTGAACAAGACGTTTTTGATTTTTCGAGCGAGGTCCAAAATGGTGGCTTGTTTTCGTATGTTCCATTGGCGGATTTCTGATTTACAGCGGTTCCGCATTTTACGAAATGCCAGATCATCTTCTGTATCCCCTGTAGTCAACTTTTTGAAAAAGAGTTGGGGCCCTTTTTCCAGAAGTCGCCGAACACTTTTCAGGAGCCTGCGGTTCATCCGAGTGTGTGCTGTTTTTTCGGTCGGGACATCGCATTAGCCTCGTGAACTTTCTGGACAATGGTCCTATATAGTTCTTCCACCGGGAGCTGGTCCCAGTGTGACTTGTTCGAGAAAGATGCGCATTCCTGAGAAGTCTGCATGACAGAAGTCTCGAAACCAAGCTCGAGATTCGGGATTTCTGGCCTAATAACGGATGAAATCAAAGGTTAAAACGCAGTGGTCGCTATGTCCCAGTGGGGCGCTGGTTGTTACCTGATCAACGAAGTGTCTTTCGTTGGCGGTGGTCAAATCCGGGAGGGATGGTAGTTGACCTGCGCGGTATCTGGTGGGTGCAACGACATTTTGAGTCTCAGCGCTCTGTTGAACGACTGCAACCAGCGCCGCTGCAAAAAGTCCGCCTGATTCGACTCGCTGGAACTCCATTCAGGAGGCCTTTTGGGCGTTGAAGTCACCTACCAGCAGAAGATGAGTGAAGTGGCAGTTGGAGGAGAGTTGCTCAAGGGTCTCTATGAGGAATTGGTCATCTTCAGGGGCCTCGAGGGGCTACGATAGACCACACCAAGAAGGAGAGAATCGAACCCGCGCAGCGGGATTTGGACCCACAGTGCATCGCAAAAGGGTGCAGGAGTGGCGTCAGAGAGGCTAGAAAAATAGAGTAACCGTCTATCGAGAGCTCCGCTTCAGAGACTTCTGGTGTGAGCCAAGTCTCTGTGAGTTCGATTATGGACGGTTGTTCAAGGCAAGCTGACTGCTTAACATCGCCGAGTCTGTCGGGAAGGCTGAGGCAGTTTGTGGACAAGCATTTCAACACCGTCTCTGCTGCCTTCGAGGTTGAGGAGCCGAAAGTTGGGTGACCAGGTTGGTTAGCAGACTTAACAGTTGTGCGCCGGGTTTGAGTCCAAGGCTCCGAAGGGGCCTCTCAGGCGATGTTGTATGCTTCCTGTCTTCGTGGTTTCTGCGGGTGCTTTTTGCTTGCGAGATTGCTTTTCGTTCCGTGAGAGCCTGGTTTGCATGGGCCCTTTGGCTTTGGGGGACGGAGTTTTATCCCCGCGGGCAAAAAACTTCTACCGTCGCTGTTGTAGCTCTTTCAGCATCCCCTTTCTGGCGACCAGATTTTCTTATTGATCAAAGATTTGCGGCAAGCTTTCGACCTGGATTCTTGGGTGTTTTTGCGCAGTTTGACCGGAAAAGTGTCTCTGTGAGGCCCTGAGCGCTGGGTGGCGGCACCAAGAAGTGATAATTTTGGTGGCGCTCCCAAGAGGCTCATTCTTGCGGAGGACTGCGTCTTGAAGCCAGCCAGCAGTTTTCTAATCTGGCAAATTTTATGTGGCTTGTTTGGCTGCAGTCGCTCTTCTTTCATGTTTGTTTGGACACCCGATCCGCCGGCGATCAGCGTCGCCAACTGGATGTACGAGGGATTTTTCGGATGGCTGTAGTCATGCTTATGGCTTATGTTGTCGGGTCCTGGGCGACGGTTGTGTCCACAAGCAGAGAGGCCGCTTTTGACGGGGTGGAACCGAAGACTGGCCCCGCTACTTTTCCCCGCATATCTGACTCAGTACAGTTCAGAGGCTGCGACTTTGTTGAGGATTGCATAACTGTAGCTGTGTTGTCTGTTACGGAAATAAGCGTTGATAGCTCCACGTACTTTGGGCGCTGCTTGCATGTGGGGTTCGCCTCCTCCAGGGCGTCCCTGACTTTGGTGGGCGAGAGGCCTGTGGTGGTCGAATAGAAACTGCTGTCCGGAGACGCAGCTGGTTTCGTCGGCCTGCTTTCGGGAGCACAGGGGGATGAGACCAAAATCGGCTTGGTCAAGAATTCGGGGTCGGCTGAATTGGTACCCAGCGGAAGCCTATTTTGTGCCTCCACCCCTGACCTGCCGTGAGTAGGCTTTCGCGCGTCCAGAAGGCCACCCTCAAATAGACGTCTGATCATTGAGTTGGCCAGAGGACCCGGTAGGGATGGCGCGATGTACTCGTTCAGCGAAGAAACTTCTTTACAAACTTCTGTCAAATTCGCTGGATTCTTATTGTCTGAATCCTCCAGTGCTTAGAAAGACGCTCCAATTTTACGTCCACTATCCCAATCAAAGCGGAACACTCGCATCGTTCTTTCTGCTTCTGCAGTGGGGATTGAGTACCGTTTTTGGGTGCTCTCCTGTTGGCTGCGGTATGCATTGCACCCTTAACGTAGAGGCACCTGACTCAGTCAAAGTGGTCAGGAGAGTTAGCTAGTCAGCTTATATGGTCGTCCTGTAAACTCATGCATTTGAAGTCCCCAGGCCTTGCAGGTGTGGCATTGCATACCGCGTTTAACGTTCGACGGGCGGCCATTTCGCCCACATCTGTTGTGGTCTGTCAACGACTGCAGAGGGCAATCGGTATAAATTGATGTCATGTTTAGGACCAGATGTAAAATAGGAAGTTTGCGCAAAATATCAAGGGTTATCTCCCAAATGTTTTGTTAGAGTAATAAAATTCAACAATTACTCGTGTGTACTCTGTGAGTAGATTGAAAAACGAAAAAGTTCTTTCACAAATTTGCACGAGGGAAAAACGAAACCGCGTACCGCGCGGTTCAAGGATCGAGGTTTCCACACTAAATTCCTGGTCATGTTTTTCGTTTCCGTTCAGCGGCTTCTGTTGCTCTAAAAGGCACATGCGGAAAAAAGTGTAGCACTGCTCTGATTTCTTAGCGTGAGGCGGTAACCTTGCCAGCTCCCGGACTCATCTA